GAGGAAATCTGCACTAATTTTCCAAACGCCATTAAAATCAAACGATTAGAAAGTAAAAGAAAGTAAAAGGTTTAAGCGATTAAAGATGCTTTGTAATATATTTTATGTATTTTTTAAAAGCAAAAACATTGGGCAGGCCTTAATAATTCAAAGCAAAATCTGAAATGTGTGTGTAAGGGGGTTGGGGTTAATCTCGGTGGAGATTCAGTTGGGCTAGATATTTGGTCTGACGCCCACCGAATCTCGGGACAGTCCTTCATAATTCATGTCTGGAAATTCAGCCCCAACTTCGGCCGGCTATATCAAGAATTATTCACCTAGGCGACACTGTCGTTCGCTTCAATTAGGTCATTTAGTTGTTTAATTAACTCTCTTTCACTATTATTTTCACATTGCTTACCGTTTAGGCATCTAAATCCCACCATAAACAGTCTAGACGAACTCTAAAAACGGCGTGAACTCCGAAAATGAAGTCTTTGGCTCCATCATGCATTGCGGCAAAATGGCGTCCGATGTAAACAAATGATGGTTTGTCGTTCGCTTTCTCCCAATATACGGGTGCATGATGGCTGTATTTTAGTGCATTGTGACTTCATTTTAATTTTTGTTGAATGGATAATTATATCTATTAAATTATTTTGTGGATATTGACTAATTTATTGCTTCAAACTCTTGCATAGTAGTAAATTGGATATACGACATTGAATTCAATACTGCCGGTAAGAATTATTTTCTTATTTGATTTATTGTCTCCTTGATTTAAATTTTATGTTGTTCCTACAATATAGGTGCTTTTATTCGTTTTTGAAGACACCCATCTTGTATTTATTTTAATTAGAAAATGCGTATTTTTCACCACGTACGGAGCAGAGATATTCACAGGTTCATTTTTAGAAGACTTGTTGTGACCTTAATTTCTAGAAGAGTGGTTTTTAAAGATTTCATATTGATAGGCTAGCCAATAGTTTTAAAAATGTTTTCATATTATTAATAATATCTGTTCGTTTGTGATAAAAAATCGGTAAATAACGATGGTAAGAACTTACGCGTTCAATTCAGATGTCGTGCACAAATAAAAATACCGGATTGCTAATTTATGTGTAAAATTCAGTCAAGTTTTTAACAGTTACAATATATATTATCCCATTTTGCATATATATCCCTTTTACTATGCATATTTACTTCTTAAACGTGTCATTTTCTCTGTAATTGACCTGACTTCAAACGTCAACTTTGAAAGTAAATATCTCCTTTTCTGCAAATAAAATTAAAAATCTGACAAATCCGATCTCTTCCAAAGTCTTTTATTTAGCATTTCTGAGTACTGGCATAATTGCCATACTTTCCAAAACTTTGCACAGACAGTTTTTGTAGACCCATCATTTTTGCCGAAAAATCGCCATTTTTTGTGCGTGTGCGCATGCGCGGACTCTTTTTTCGGAGTCTTTTTCTGTCTCAATTTCTTACTTCCGGAAACGCTGTTTTTGGAGTTCGTCTAGACTGATAAATACGTCACTAAAATCTCCGTTCAAAATATGGCTCCCCTGACGTAATTGTTTATCTCCTCGCACTAAAGAGTTCCTCTATGATCTGTTTTCATTTCTATGAAAAAAAACTTAAAAGCCACAGTAGAGGTTCAGTATCACATAAAAGAAAACAGACTGTAGGAACTCTTTAGTGCGAGGAGATAAACAATTACGTCAGGGGAGCCATATTTTAAACGGAGATTTTAGTGAATGTTTTTATGGTGGGATTTACATGCCTAGACGGTAAGCAATGTGAGAATAATAGTGACAGAGAGTTAATTAAACAACTAAATGACTAAATTGAAGCCAACGACAGCGTCGCCTAGGTGAATAATTCTTGATATAGCCGGTCGAAGTTGGGGCTGAATTTCCAGACATGAATTATGAAGGACTGTCCCGAGATTCGGTGGGCGTCAGACCAAATATCTAGCCCAGCCGAATCTCCACCGAGATTAGTGTATTCTTTGTGACAAGGCCTTCCTTTGGATACCAACAACTTTGACCTTTTGACCTTGACCTTGGAGTTTGACTACTTTTGACAAACTATAACCTTGGCCATAACTTTTGAACAGTTGGTGCTTGGGGTTTCAAACTTCACATGTGTATTTATTGTGACAAGACCTTCCTCTGGATATCAACCTCTTTGACCCTTTGACCTTGACCTAGGAGTTTGACCTACTTTTGAGAAACTTTAACCTTGGCCATAACTTTTGAATGGTTGGAACTAGGGCATTCATACTTCACATATGTAATCCTTGTGACAAGACCTTCCTTTGGATACCAACCACTTTGACATTTTGACCTTGACCCAGGAGTTTGACCTACTTTTGACAAATTTTAACCTTGGTCATAACTTTTGAACAGTTGGTTCTTGGGGATTCAAACTTCACATGTGTATTTCTTGTGACATCACCTTCCTTTGGATATCAACCTCTTTGACCCCTTGACCTTGACCTAGGAGTTTGACCTACTTTTGAAAAATTTTAACCTTGTCCATAACTTTTGAATGGTTGGAGCTAGGGCATTCATACTTCACTTATGTAATCCTTGTGACATCACCTTCCTTTGGATACCAACCACTTTGACCTTTTGACCTTGACCTAGGAGTTTGACCAACTTTTGACAAACTTTAACCTTGGTCATAACTTTTGAACGGTTGAAACTAGGGCTTTCATACAACACATATGTAGTCCTTGTGACATCACCTTTCTTTGGATACGAACCACTTTGACCCTTTGACCTTGATATAGGAGTTTGACCTACTTTTGAAAAACTTTAACTTTGACCATATGAATGGTTGGTGCTAGGGCTTTCATACTTCACATATGTAATCCTTGTGACAAGACCTTCCTTTGGATACCAACAACTTTGACCTTGACCTTGACGTTTTACTTACTTTTAAAAAAACTTTAACCTTTGCCATAACTTTTGAACAGTTGCAGCTAGAGCTTTCAACTTTCACAGGTATATTCCTCGAGACAAGACCTTTTTTTTGAGTACCAACATTTTTTATCTTTTGGCCTGGATTTTGACTTGCATTTGAGAAAATTAAACCTTCGCCATAAGCTGCCATACGGGGGCATCAGTGTTTCACAAACACATCTTGTTAAATTTTACTATGATCATGAAATATAGCTTGAAAAGATCTGTGAAGAGCCTACAAAAAGTAAAATATGATGTGCACAATTGCACTATGTAATAAAGATTCTTTGAAAGTCTCATTAAATTTTATTCAGTGGTATAAGAGGAGTTGCGGATTAGACATGGGTACCGCAAAGCGTAACGGACGGAAATTCGGACGTACAGACAGATGGACAGTATCTGAAAATCAAGACAGAATTACCCCCCCCCCCCCTGAAAAAAAACCAAACAAACAAACAAAGGAAAACAAACAAACAAAACAAACAAAAACAAACCAAATTAGGCAATTAAAGTATTTCACTCTTGTCAGTTGAAATCCATTATTTCTTGATAAATTCCTATCATATTATTGTGTGCATATCATATGGTATTATGCATTTTTAAAAAGAGTTTACACAACAAAATTAAAAGTGTACACATGTACAAATGTAAAAGAGACCAAAAAATATCTAGAGTAATGTTATTCAAAACTTCAGTATTTGATCATTTTGTTAAAAAAATGATGACTATGTCCACTTAAGATTTAAAACATGTGGAATGACCATTCACTTAATCTTTTCTTTGACTTTCATTCCAATGGCCGTCACGGTAGCTCAGTAGGTAGAGCGCTCGCTCCGTGATCGGAAGGTCGTGTGTTCGAATCACGGCCGCGACTGACCTAAGTCGATAAAAAATAGGTAGCAACTGTTCCTTCGCCAAGCGCGAGACCTTAAAAACCGAGGCCCCGTGTCACGGTAAGCGTTGGCACGATAAAGAACCCTCACTGCTCAATGGCCCTGAGTGCCGAGTAAAGGTCTAAATTTGAAGCCCTTCACCGGTATATGATGACGTCTCCATATGAGTGAAAAATTCTCGAACGGAACGTTCGGGTACGTCTCCTAAGGAAGCTCTAAACAAAAAAGTGCTTATTTAATGGTAGTTTTAATTTATGCAGTTAGAGTGATCTGCCCTTCGGTGTAAAATGGAATAGACTGAAATCTTCAGTAAATGGCACAAAGTGAAATAGATTAAAGTCTTCTTAACAATGTATTAGATGTGGAAAAAAAACTAGATAGACTCAATATGTACACCTTAAATGATACATTGTACAATTTTCACAATTCAAGAAAAAAAAATTCATTTGTGTTAAGGACTTCTTTCAGAGGAAACTCCATTCTTAATTTTGACCAGAATGAAAAAAAACAATCCCTTTCTTCTTCTATCAGATATATTCAAGGCTAGTTTTTCAGATATTAAGTAACACACTTATCATTGAAAAAGAACATCTCTTCGTGTATTGTAAAGAAGGATAGAATTATTTTATACTATAAGTATTTACAAAGAAACATTGAATCTTGAAACGAATCATTTTGGGGGAACTATCTTTAAACTATCAAGCGGACCATCAAATTAGTAATATAGATAGAAGTATTGTTACAGATGAGCATGAATATAAAACAAACATAATCATTCGACAATTTTGCACCCTTTCCCTTGCTCATCCTTTTTCGCACTTATAAAATTTAATTTAGTATTGAATTTGTTTTTTTATATCAACTCAACTTTCTCTATATGTGTATCTGTTGATAAACTTTTTTTTTGTGATTTTCACCATAACACATACATGTCATGAAGATGAGAAGGATAAATGTAATCCTGCCTCCCCCAATACCCCCCCACCCCCACCCCCACACACAACAGTGACACATTACGTATGGCCCCACGTTGGGCATCATAGCAATATGAAAATAAATCAATATGATAAAGTAATCGAATGTTCCTCAGTTAAAATGAAACTTCCTAGCCCTGGTGTTGGAAGACCCCGTAATGTGTTATTCGCGTGCCGAGAGTGTGTGTGATGTAGCGCCATCTGGTGTCATGAGTGATCTAGCCGTGCAGTCCTGAACACGGACTAGAGGTCTGCTAATAATCATACGTGGTAAGATTTTAACTTTCTCTTATTGTTTTTAAGAAAAATGTAGATTTTTGGTCCTACATGATTTCAGAAAAAAAAGAATAATTCACACGGTTAAAACCATTTTTAAAAAATTAAATTGCTATATTATACTGAGAAAAATTAAAGAAAATTATTTTGTTTGGCGTCTTCAAAAGTTCCTATAATCGACATCACTTTGTAAAACAGAGACAGTTTCATGAAATTTTAAATTTTCTACGATGGATTATTCGTTTTTTCGAACCTCGCATCAATTTTAAAGAAAAAAGGGGGATGCATTTATTGACAATCTTGGATGTTTCAAGCACGCAGCTGAAAAAAAGAGCATTGAGCAACACATAAAAAATGAACAGTTTGAATTTGACAATATTGTTTGTTTCATAGTTGATGAAACAACTCCTTAACCTTATACAGTCAATTAATGGGTATATGTAATATCTTTGTGTGGAGAAAAGTACGGATAAAGATAAATAAAATGTAAATAAATAAAGAAAGAAAATAATGACTGAGCAAAAGTATGTTTTTGCCGTTAAAATATTTGCATATTATATTCAAAGAGAGAAAAATGAAAAGTCGACAAATATACTACTTTAGTTCCTATTTAGCTACACCTTTGAATATCTATTGACGACAATAAAAATTATCGGTCCTCGGACCAAACAGGCCCGGTAGGAATCAATTTCAGTTTGGGGGTGGAGGAGGAGGGGGTGGAGGAGAGGGGGCCGGGGTGGGCAATCAAACATTTTCAGTTGGGGGGCACTGCCAAGTAAAAATTCCTTGACAGACCAAGTCGTTATCATCAGTTGTTATTACTGAGGAGACACAAGCAAACTAAATATTTACAGGTCCATTTAACTAATGGTCAACTTTTGGACCCCCCCCCCCACTTCCCCTACCATCGCTACCGTATCTATCGATTCACAACAGAAATTACTGAGGAAATAAAACATAGTGAAACATTGTTACAAAATTAAAGATTCTGCGATTTTGCATTATTGTCATAGGTTATCCAACATTCAGGGGAAGTGGGATATATATTTATCAAAGTTTCTTGAATTTCCTTGTTTTGGATTCAAGTTAATTTGTTAGATCTTAAATCATAGTAAAATTAGATTAAATTTATATTTATACTAGAGGGTTTCATTTTTAGCTCTACTGGTCAGAGACCAGAAGAGCTTATGCGATAGTAAGGTGTCCGTCGTCCGTCCGTCCGTCCGTCTGTCTGTCTGTCTGTCTGTCTGTCCGTCTGTCTGTAAACAATTTTTCAAAACGCTACTCCTCCTACAGTTTTGGTCCGATTTCAATATAACTTGGCACACAAGTAGACTACACTAAGATACATAATTTAGTGCATCGGTTTTTGATTTCGATGGACGGTGTTGCCATGGTTACTAAAAATAGAAATTTCTGTGAAATTCCTTTAAAACGCTACTCCTCCTACAGTTTTGGTCCGATTTCAGTATAACTTGGCACACAAGTAGACTACACTAAGATACATAATTTAGTGCATCGGTTTTTGATTTCGATGGACGGTGTTGCCATGGTTACTAAAAATAGAAATTTCTGTGAAATTCCTTTAAAACACTAAACCTCCTACAGTTTTGGTCTGATTTTAATATAACTTGGCACACAAGTAGACTACACTAAGATGCATAATTTAGTGCATCGGTTTTTGATTTCGATGGACAGTTTTGCCATGGTTACTAAAAATAGAAATTTCTGTGAAATTCCTTTAAAACACTAAACCTCCTACAGTTTTGGTCTGATTTTAATATAACATGGCACACAAGTAGACTACACTAAGATACATAATTTAGTGCATCGGTTTTTGATTTCGATGGACGGTGTTGCCATGATTACTAAAAATAGAAATTTCTGTGAAATTCCTTTAAAACACTACTCCTGCTACAGTTTTAGTCCGATTTCAATGTAACTTGGCACACAAGTAGACTACACTAAGATACATAATTTAGTGCATCGGTTTTTTGATTTCGATGGACGGTGTTGCCATGGTTACTAAAAATAGAAATTTCTGTGAAATTCCTTTAAAACACTACTCCTGCTACAGTTTTAGTCTGCTTCTAATATAATTAGGCATACAAGAAGACTATACTAAGAGACATAATTTATTGCATTGGTTTTTGAATTCGATGAACAGTGTTGCCATGGTTACTTAAAATAGAAATTTCTGTGAAATTCCTTTAAAACGTTACTCCTCCTACAATTTTGGTCTGATTTCAATCTAATTTGGCACACAGTTAGAATACACTACGATACATAATATGTATTTCTGTTTTTTTTTATTTGGGTGAGTGGTGTTGTCATGGTTACCGTTACTAAAAATAGAAATTTCCGTGAAATACTTTCAAAACGCTACTACTCCTAGTTTTCATTTGTCATAATGATTTCAATATAACTTGTCACAAAAGTAGACTACATTAAGATACATAATTCTATTTATTGTTGCATGTTGCAATGTTTCAAATCCAAGTGCTACTTTTCTTTTGTTATACAAACAGACCAGTAGAGCTACAGTCTCATCAGAGACTTCTGGTTATGTTTTGCACTGAATTTCAGTATAAATTTGGAGAGGATGAAAAAAATAAGGATGTTTGATAGAAAAATTTCTTGACAAATATGTGTTTTAGCATATATACAGCCTGTATAAAATGTTCTACATAATATACTATTAAAAAAAAGAGACACATAATAGGAAAAATACGCTGAATAATATAAAATAATTTTACCATGCAATTTTAAAAAAAAATGACTATGATTCAATCGAGTAAAATGCATCATTTTTTAATGTTAAAAAAGTTATTGTTAACTAGACAGCCAGTCTACAAATCTCATAGACAAAGAGACTTAATTTGCAAATGCCAAAATTTTGTCTTTTTTAACTTTTTTATTTTGTTGGTTTCTCATCCACATCATTCAGGTACAAAAAGTTTATCAAAAGCTGGGGTTCTATTGATCCTCTTATTTTCGAAAATTGACCTAATTTAAAAATGCGGCATCTGAATGATGCACAACACAAAAAGGAAATTGGGAGATAGGAAGCATATGTATCACAGCCTACAATTGCAAGAGGTTTTAATATTGGACAAAGCACCATACCAACAGCATGATACAACAAATAATCGCCAAAAATATGGCAGAGTACACGTGACATTAGCAGCCCAGGATCGCTTCATTGGTTTGCGTCATCCTCATCAATGTTCCACAATGACGTCGTCTACAGCATTAGAACTTTATCCCTGACCTACACACAATATCAAACAAGAGGCATAAGAGTCGGAAGACATATTCACGCCATTGTTATGACCCTAAACACCGCCAATATCGACATCAAAGGTCTCAGACAAACAGATTATGGCCACAGCAACAGTTTGGTGTAGCTTTGAGTCCAGATTTTTTATTGCAAAGCCTGATGAAAGAGAGTGCATAAGCTTCGTAATGAACGTTTTGCAGAAAACTGCCACCGAGAGGTTGATAGATTTGGTGTTGTTAGTGGTATGATATGGACATCGGTTTTGTATACAAGCAGGGCGGATTTGGTTCATATTTAAAGGACTTTGACGGCACAACAGTATTTGATGACGATGTTCTACCTGTACATGTCTTTCAAGAAATGCAGCATCCTGGGGCCATTTTTCAATCAGACAATAGGAAGTCACATACGGCTAGTCTGACAATTGCATTCTTGAAAAGCCACGACATCTAGTCCTGCCTTGGCCATCCAATTGCCATCCTTCGCCAGATGTAAACCCATTAAGCATATCGTCAAAGAAAACGGCATCCCCAGACTCTGCAACGGCTGACCCAACCTCTACATTAAGAGTAGAACAGTATTCTAATACAGTTTTAATGCACTCATTTGCGTGCATGGGATGACGTTTTAGGCTCTCATAGGTGTCTGCAGGGGGCATACAGATATTGATCTTTAAGGACCTTGGACTGTCTATGAGAATTCTTGAGTTATTATTACACTTAGCTTGTAGACATATTGTTTACCAAATTTCTCGGTTATCAGTTCATCATTCTACTGACCATTTTGTTAAATGTGTCACTAAAATTTTCCTATGCGTTTCCTTTTTTTGAACAGTATATATTTTTTGAGTAGCCTATGTCCTTATATGCATTGTACGAGTAGTCTTCCCAGAACTAACCTTTCTCTATGAAATATTAAAGAGAAAACTTCTATATAACTGTCATACATAGAAATTAAGACATGAAGAAGTCAACAGTTATAAAGCAATATTCATTATATAAGTTTTTTGTAGAAAAATTTTTTAAGTATCGTTCTATGATATCAGTCTTCACAGTTATAATTTTTGATTCAATATCTTTATTTCTTAAGACCAGTCTGTGTTTATTGAATTTAGAGACACGTGCCGACATTAACAGACAGGATCACTTTTTAAAAATAAAACAGTATGATTGTTCAATAGTATATGTATCTTTTTATTGAATGGATAAAACCGTCATAAGTAGTGTTGTCAAATCGGACGATTTTTAGTAACAGGTTACTCGCTTAGCTTTCCGATCGAGTAACCGGTTACTCGGATGATTTTTCTTTAGACATCAAACATTTTTGTTCGCGATATATACTCAGCTGTAATATATACCGTATGTAATGTTGTTACCATTTCTATATTTATCATTTGTATATCGGTATACACAAAACACAAATAAACTGCATATGAACTTTATTTAAAATCACAAACACAAACTATCTTCTAAATAATTTTTTTTTCTCGAACACTCCGTAATCGTTGGCCGTTTTGCGCTTTATATATTGCTGGATTTACAGTTAAACTTCAGTTTGAGGTGGTTCAGAATGTTAGTTGTCCCACCCGTGTATGTTAATTCCATTTCACATGATTCACACCTCACAGATTTAAATTTAAGCTATTCTTTTAAAAATATTTCGATGGATGTGACGGCATCTTCTTTAATCTTGTACGAGGACTAGCAGAGGTTTACGGTTTATGTGAAGTAATTATAATTAAATGTGGTTTATTTGATGTAATTATACTCATATCAAGCCATCGGAACTTGTATACCCTTTGGCAATCAAAGCCATCAATTAGATAAACTGTGAAATACTAATTAAAATAAATTGATCGCATTTGTAAAACGCTAGGTCGAGACTTACGTTAAATAACTGTAAATAAAATGGGGACATCATAGACAAAAATACATTATTCCTACTGATTTACTTTATAAAATTCAATATATCCGAGTAACCGAGTAGCAGTTTTACTAACCGATACTCGCGTTGTCCGACGATTAACCGGTTAACCGGGTACTCGTTGACAACACTAGTAATCAGATTATTTTCATATTGCATATACTAAATAATAAAGATTAATCTCTTGAATAAAAGCCTCTTTTGACAATTCATTACACTTGACAATTGATGACATATTTTGTTAACTGTGGTAAATCAAACGATTTTGAGAAATTGATCAGTGGTCCAAGAAATGGCCAAGTCGTAGAGCTGATATCACGTTTGTTTTTTTTTTTTGTTTGTTTGTTTTTGTTTTGTTTTGTTTCTGCAGAAAGATGAAGCACCTGGTGATTCTGGTCCCCTTATTAGCTTCTTCTTTTGCCGTGCATTTGAGCCATGACTTATCCCTCCACAGTGAAAATCTAGTGCGCATGTTCAGTGATTATCTATTACGTGATGACCAACTCCAAAGGCAAGGCAGGGATGTGGAATTCAATGGAAGTAAGACTATGATACATAAAAAAATATGCAATAAAGACTTTAATATTAGATTGAATCTTGAAATATAACATGCCTTCGCATTAAAAGAACACACAATGAGCAATTTGTAGAGTAACACCTTGTCAGCGAAGAGTACATGTATGCTTTTGAAGTTTATAATTTTAGTTAATGAAGAGTACAAAGTGATGCGCAGAGCCTCCTCCCCATCCTACAAAGTACAAAACTTTGCAATATGGTATGAACCAGGGTCAGGAATGCGGTTTTGTGAAACAAATAATACGACTGTTTTTAAACAATGTATCGATACATCCAGCAACTGCAACTATCTGAACAGTACTCTCCAGATTTGCAAGAAACCGGAAGCAGCAAAGAATCTTGGGTGTCTGAAAACATGTCAGCTCTGTAATGGTATTGATATAAATTTGTAGTGTAAGACTGAGCTAAAAATTATTTCCAATTTCTCAAAGTAAAGCATGAGGAACATCATAAATCATACAGACCTTTTGTATATTATAGTAGATAAATGTGAAACGGGTAACCACAACTGCAACCGTTTGGCCGACTGCAAACCAGACGGTGACAGTTTTCAATGTACCTGTAAGAAAGGCTATGAAGGGGACGGTGTAAAGTCTTGCACGGGTAAGCTATATTGCAGTATATATAATAACATTTTGGAACCTTTTATTTACTTATTATTCACCACGATAATGAAAACTATCTGTGTTTCAGACATAAACGAATGCACCACCAACAAACATAATTGTCAACCAAGTCAGACATGCAAAAATATTGAAGGAGGATTTAGATGTATATGTAGGTACAAATTAATCATGTTTCTTTCTATGTAATAATAATTTAACATTATTTTATTTTAACGATGTGGAAACATTTATGTGATTTGATACTGTTTCAGCCCTGTCACTTGAATCACCGCCTGTAAAAACCTGTCTGCCAGGCTACACAGCTCAAAACGGAAAATGTGAAGGTAATACACACATTGTAGAAGAGATAAATGCTACAATCGAAACAGTAAAATTTCAGCATCACAACAAGGACAATAACTGAACTTTGACATCCCAGTTGCACAGTAGCTACCCAACAGATATAAAACAATACCATCCATATTTCATGCAGCTTCACTTTCATGCAAGACCCCCAAAATTGTTTGGTGAATGTAGAAAGATAATTTATTGATTATAATTACATTTACAGATGTAGACGAATGCAAAGATCCGAAGCTTAATAATTGTCACAAGGATGCTCTTTGTTCAAACACCGACGGAAGTTATAAATGTCAATGTAAATCGGGATTTATCGGAACTGGAACGACTTGTACTGGTGAGATATTATTTGACTTCAAAATAATTTGATAGGACTTCAGTTTGGAGTTAATAAGCATTTTAGTGACATACATTTATACACTAATTATGATGGCAAATATGTAGTTTTATTGCATATACCAGAACTCGAATTTTATGAAAACAAACGGCATAATTTTCTTTTTTGACTTAAACAGAAACTTAAATTCACAGATATTTGGAAGTTGTTGATTTTCATTTGTAGCTTTGATTGTTCCACAAAATTTATTCCAAGAAAATGTCACTTATGCCATGTTTACAATAGAACTGTTAAAATTTTATTTTTTGTTTTTAATTCTTGCACTCTCTAAAGAATGATCAGGAATATAGTTATCTTAACTTCTAATACGTTCATTTTAGGCAGTTTTTTTTTTTAAATATGATTAGAAGTGTCCTTGAGATGTGCAATAAGGTTTTGAAAGAATAATTATTTACCCCTGGGGGGCAATTGAGGATCAAAAACCTTAAAAAATTCTACGAACACGTGGTTCTCATAAATTCTTTTTCATGTTATGCAGCGGCCAATTAAATTATCTTTTGGAATATGATTGGTGGTGTCCTGTACACTGATATGCAATAAGGTTTGGGAATTTGCAATTTCATTGTGGAGGCCAATTGGAGCCGAAATGTTTTTAATACAAATTTTCCTTCTTTCCAGTACTCCTTTTTAAACCGAATTTATACCTCATTAAATTCTTTAGTTTTTAGACAGGTAATAAATTTAGTATATGAAATACTACCATAAGAGGTTCATGGGCCACGTGCTCACCTGAACATTATTTTTATGCTCTATTTGATACATGATGTCCTATCAGATTGATGACATATAATTAATAGAACAACGTCTTTCTTCTTCTTTCAATTTTTTTATTTATAAATTATATTTAAATTTTAAATCAGATATTAACGAGTGTAAAGGCAAAAATGACTGTTCCACGTATGCTACTTGTACTAACACTGCCGGTTCCTACGTATGTAGATGTCGCGTAGGATTCAGAGGAAACGGAAAATCTTGTCAAGGTAAGATCATCTTTTGAAATTCTGATTCTTTTCACAATATTTAAGTATATCTAAACAATAAAATGCTTTCTTTGTTAATGCAGGAAGTAAGGGTGCAACAATTGCAGAAAAAATACACAGTCTGCGTAAGCAGGTTATGTACATTGTTCATGAAATGGTTTTCAACGTTAACCCTGCACTAACAAACAAATACAGACATTTTATTGTTTATACATGCATATATAACGACATGTATATTGAATATATATATATATATATATATATATATATATATATATATATATATATATATATATATATATATATATATATATATATATATATATATATATATAATATTAATAATCATATAATGTAGGTTTAAGTATGTGGTATTTAAAAATCGTTTCTAATTAGTGTAGAGTTAATAAATTGATTAAGGAAAGTGGTTTTCATAAGAAATCAAGAAATCAAGGAGAAAATATTCAGTGAATGTAAATCCTAAATGATATGTTTTATTCAATTCCTTTTTTTTCCTCATGTTATAGATGTCGACGAATGTTCAAAGGGAGAACGCAATAACTGTAACAAACTAGCTTCTTGTAAGAACACCATTGGTTCCTTCAAGTGTACATGTCCGAAAGGGTACTATGGAGATGGATCTTATTGCAACGGTAATTTTTTTCTATTAGGGCCTCGCAAACATTAGCGGGAGCCCAAGTTATCATTTTGTTATACTGTCACAAAGAATTCTGTCCACAGTATTTTAAAAACACTTTTTATGACTCCGCATTTATATCACCATAGCGGAATGTTTGATATTCATTTTCAAATTTGGTATGTTGTATCAATACGTAACGAGATTTATTTTGATTACGAAGTTGTTTCTGTTTGTCATCTGATGGTAAGCAGAATTGAGCAGATTCCTAATTCAATATAAAAGGGAATTTCTTTTGAAAATTTTCATATAGTAAACTTAGTATAAATGGATAAAAGCTCAGTGAATCCACTGGGACTAATTTTTTTGCCTTGCTTAGCCTTTTTTTTGGGGTTACAATAAGATATATTAATAACCCTTAATGCAAGTGATGTTTATTTTCAAGTTAAGATCAGGTCTGATTGATGTTCCCATTCACTGAAAGCTGATAGTTTGTCAAATATTTACTTCGTTTCATTCCTCACCCCACCTCTGGGATTTCTCAGCGTCCGTGTTTTTGTCTTTTTCACGATTGAAATTTTTTTTTAATGTTTATGAGTTTGATTACTGTTCATCATCTTTATCTTTTTTTCATTTGGTTCAAATACACATTTACATTTTATTGAATCAAAATTGCAAAGAATTGTTATTTTATTGACTTACTGCTATTGTTAAAAACAAAATTGTTACAAAATATAGTTATTTACCTATCTTCCTAAATACTAATACAAGGATAGGAATAATTATTTTACAGGTAGTTTCATTAAAAAAAATATCATTAACTTTATATTTACCTTAGTAGTTTTCATATTTTTCTTCAAATGATTTACAATTTCCTTTGTAATTGTTTCTTTGTCAACTTATCATATTGTAGTTCCTTTTTATTGTAGATATAAATGAATGCAGTCGGCGGTCTACAAACAATTGTCACCGCCGAGCTAAGTGTACAAACACACCGGGCTCCTACAAATGTGCTTGTCAAAGTGGTTATACGGGAGATGGCGTCACAAAATGTAACTATAAACGTAAGTCATGTTTTCTTATTGTTGATAAACATCACCACCCGTAGTTCACAGAGGCTATCCATTGTGTTTATGAAAGTTGCTGCAAAATACTCGGATGAACTTTAGGGCCTTAACTCATTTTATTAACCTTTTTGTTCTTGAAAAGATTTTACATTTTTTGTTGAGAACTTGGAGTGTATATTTTCATTATTTTAGCTTCAAATCTGTCTTTGGACTGTCAAAATTACAAAATTTGTCTTCAACTGACATTTTTACATGAGGATTATCACTAAAGATAGAACCTAAAGATTTGAAAACAGAGCGAATCATCTTTTTGTTGTTTGCATTGTTCTCACGTTGCATTTTACATTTCAGAGAAAGTAAAGTGGAGCTGGTGGGGTTAAAACAAATACTGAATTTGTTATGTCCACATAGTATGTCTTGTACTAATACATATTACTCTGTGCTTGCAGTTTTAGTGTTGTATTTTAATTTAAAAAAAAAAAAAAACCCATTTTATTCAATATTCAAAAAAAAAAAAATTATTCGATATTTCAATTATTTTGAATATAAATTAAAATTATTCAGATAACTATGAACATTTTTAAAGCTATTATTGAATTATATATATATATAAAACTAGTGTTTGGTTGCTTGGTTGTCCTTTAACAATAACATTTAGAAAAACATGGAATAAAATATGATAAAAAAAAGTCTAGAAATTGTCTACAGGTGAAAATTTTTTTCCTGCATACAAAACAGAGAACAAATTTTATTAAGAATTTATTACAAACTTGATATATACTTTCGACAGAACAAAACAAGGATAACAATATTTGGTTTGAATATCACAGAATACAAAGGACCTGTATATACAGGTACATCTCAGTGTGTGTTGCAATAAGTAACAGCTGGTATACCTATGCATGAGATTTATATTTTCCAAGTTTAATGGTATAAAATAATAATCAAGTAATTCTTTACATATACATGTATTTTACATAAATTTTTAGTGGGGTAGACCAATATATGCAAATTATAAATTTCCCCCAAAACCCAGCTATCAATGGGATTTAAATAGCTTGATTTTTAGAGAAAAAAAAACATTGGAAACGTAAAACACCAGTCTTCTGTTTTTATTTTAGAACGAGAAATGTTGTTCTCGTAAAATGAAAATATTTTAATGAATTTTCAAGCTCATAAAATGCAGTAAAACTAGAACAGAAGTTGACATTTCGAATCTACCATTTTCAAATTTGGAGAAAGTGGTGTAAGAATTTTTGGAGCCTTTATAACCTGATGCCAGCATATTGCCTTAAGACCTCGTCACTGCAGTCAGCCTCCGCTTCCGTTGGTGGGATTGAGGACTTAGGGAAAGCACTTCCGAGATTAACATTGCACGATGGAAGTTTGTTTTTCTTGTAAAAATCAATCAATTTGCATAGACACTTGAAACCCTGAAATTAAATATTGGTTGTCACAATATAAAAAGAGTTAAATTTAAGCAACGAAGTATTGCAGTCGTCATTTGCAATGTACGGTATATTGTAAAAAAAAAACAAAAAAAAACAAAAAAAAAAAAAAACTCAGAATCAACACACATCTGCCAATCTGAGATTATACCGTGCATTGAAAAGTTATAAATTGGACTGAGTATACAGAAATTTGAAAATTTGGCGCTGTATACATAAAGAAATGGTTTCATCAGCGATATGACTTTAAAATACAAACATGTCGCTAAAATAATTTCAAAGATATTCATTCGTCCTTTATCTTTAAAATGTACTATTAAAATGACAGGAGTGTCTGAGTGAAGACCAAAATCTTTTTAGAATCTACATGTTATTCTGTGTTTCATTTATTAGCAACATCATTTGTTCTTGATCTGCACTGATATCTAATTGGAATACCTTAATTTTTTCATTAAAAATCAATTTTCAGGTAATAAAGTTTAAGAGTAATTTCATCTAACCTTACGGGAGGGATCTATTTTGTACTTTCTCTTGCGAGTCAGCATCACTGGGAAGGAAAGGACGTCATCCTGGTATTTTACTTCAAGGCAAAACCTGTTTACAGGGTGATTCTGTAGAGTCAACACTACCCAGTTTCCGCTCTACAAATCAAAATTGTGTGCTTTGTAAAGTAATAATTAAGAAACAAACATAAAGAGTTCATCTCGAATAGTATAAAACAAACCACATTTCAAAGGAATTACATTATTTGGCAAGCAGCCAAAATTCAAATCACGTGCAATTACTTGAAATGTTCCCATTAGGACTAAAACTCATTCACTATGTAACCCAGTGCCTTTATCAAACATTCAGGCATGGTAAGATAAATTTGGCATTTTTCATAAGATTTTAAAGAAATTGCAATTCCGTAGCACAGTAGGCCACAAGGAAAAAAATCTTCCTATCAATATAACATGTATAAAAACATCAAAGCTCACCACAGACATACCAAGAAAAGCCAAACATTTTCGGCAAAACAAACTAATAGAGAATTTAAGTCAATTTTTTTTAAAAATTAAATGACCCCGACCCTATTGTTAAACACATTATATTTATGATATATTCATAACAAGGTCCATAGTAATGGATAAGAAATACGTTTTTCTTTCATTCAATTATAATGCAATCTAATGCCACATCATCTTTAGCTCTCCTAGTAAGAGACCAGAAGAGCTTGTGCGATTGTTAGGTGTCCAAGTTGTCCATCTGTCTGCATGGCTGTCTGTCTGTACTACTCCTCTTACAAATTTGGTACGATTTCAATATATTTTGGCACACAAGTTGATTACACTAAGATACATAATTCTGTGTATAGGTTTTTAATTTCAAAGGGTGTTGCCATGGTAACTAAAATAAGAAATTTCTGTAAAAAGGCCACTCCCTTTACGGTTTTAGTCTGATTGCAATAAATCTTGCCACAAAAAGATACTAAAACAGGATCATTATTCTATTTATCGCTGTTGCATGGTTTCAAGTCCCAAGTGCTACTTTTCTCTTCCTTTGTTTTAAGTACAAACCAGAAGAGCTATAGTCTCATCAGAGACTTCTGGTTGCTTTACCTTTCCTTTATTGTGAAGACATTCTTTTATATGAGCTTTTTCGTTGTCGTCTTCAATGTCTGGATGAAAACCCTCTGATATGCAGGTAAACTTTGAACATGTTGCACTGCTCTCTCTCGGTCTGACGACAGGAACAGTCTCTGATAAGTTAGCAGCTGATCTCCAGATCCTACCACCTACGTAACAATTTATCTTATTATTATCTTTCTATTTCAATATTATTTATTATGTATTTGTTTTATTTTATAGGCTTTATTTTATGTCATAGACAAAAGATCAAAACATGACAAGAAACTACCTGCAAAACAGTAGCCTCCTGGAAAGAAAATGCAAACAGACATACTTTAGAGCTACCAACCCACCAACTGCACTATTTTGTCGCATGACCTGGTACTAATTCTCGCTTTATATGCATTCCTCCGCGTAAAGCAGATTATCCGGTAATTAAAATTTTTTTACTAACAACATTTTATATCAATTACAAGTCAATGGTCCCAAATAGCCCTCTTTAGCCTTGGAATGTCACAGTTTCAAAAACGTTGCTTCCAATAGCCATGTTTTGATAATATTTAGATACACCTATCGGAAAACTATATGCCTTAATCTATACGTCTACCGTGTTATTTATTTATTTTTAATTTTAAATTTCATTGATGACTTTTATAGACGATGAAGTTGACATTTAGCCAAAACACAATTTTATACTAGATTTCTTTAGTAGGCGCATTTTTCAAAGCAGGAGTATCGTATCACCCCAAAGGGGCTGTCAGTAGCAAAGTTTTTGATACTGTCACATTCAGATGCCACAGAGAGCCATTGAAGAGTAAATGAAAGGTAAATGAAGAGGAGAAGTAAAAGATAATTTATGTTTAATTTACGTAAACCATACTTAAGGCGGGGTAATGCATGTAATGCGAGAAACAATAGTACCCGAAACTTGTAACTAAAAAGTGTCACCGTTAATATTGTTTTTACAGTTGGTTGATCTGTAGCTCTCTGGTACATGTATATCTTTCAGAATTTTCTTACCCATTGAGATACCTTTCTGCAGCTAGACAAGTTATCTGTCAGAAAACCCGATCCACATTATCAAATGATGCCATATTTGCAAGTGCTAAGATTTGAATACAATGAGTATGAATGAAAAATGTATATACATAAAATTCTGTTCCAAGGAATCATTTTTGTCTTTCCAAGTACAATAGTTTACTGTTTAAAAAAAGTGGGGTGGGGGTAGGAGTTATACGCTGAATGATATATAATAGTTTTGTCATACAATTTTTTAGCCGAATATAGGATTAATTCCAGTATAATTTGTATATTTTAACGCTACTGTTACTGGACATAAATTTGAGAAAACTTCCTGACAATAAAACTGTATGTAAAATGCCAAAAATCAGCCTTTGTAACACTTAGTTTAGATTTTTTGACTTTGCTATTTGAATATGACACTATTTAAGAAATACCGCGTCCGAATGATGCACAAGGCATTGACCAAGTGGGGTGTTAGCTGGTGTACTAGTCCATAATCGACAGTAAAAAGATGGTTTAATGTTTCATCACTGAGTATCATAATTCGCCTTTAAAGCAGATACCAACAACATAATACAACAAATGATTGCAAAAAAATTGGCAGACCAGGACTAACATCAGCAGCACAGGACTGCGTCATCTTCATCAACGTTCCCCAACAGCGTCATCTACAACATTAGCTATCTTTGAGCATTGATCTGAGCTTGCAAAAAACGCCAATATCGACTTCTAAGGTTTCATACCAACAAAGTATGGCAACAGCAATGCAGGCGAACAGTTTGGTTTAGCTACCAGTCCAGATTTTGTTATTGCAAAACGTACTGGAATTGACAAAGTGTTTGGGCTTCGTAATGAACGTTTTGCGGAAAATAGCATCCTAGAGTTTGAAAGACCTGGTGTTGATAGTGTAAGGGCAACGGTATTCTATGCAGTCAAGACCGATTTGGTTATTATTCAAGGAACTGTGACGGCGCAGCGGTACATTGACGAAAGTCCTACATCTACATGTTTTTCTGCATCATGGAACCGTATTTCCGTATTTCAACATGATAATGCAAAGACACATCTGGCTCGAATTTCCTTTTTGCAAAATCAAAACATTCAGTTTAGCCTTAACCATATAAATCGCTAGACCAAAACCTCACTGAGCACGGATATGACAAATTGGGTAAATATTTGACCAAAGACAACCGCAACCATAGATAATACAGATCCGGCCAAAGCTCTACAGTTAAATTGGTTAACACTCCTAGGCTGTTTTTAGACACTTGTGGGAAAACGTTGTCATACTGTCATTGGTGTCCGTTTCGGGCGTACAAGATACTGATCTCTAATGGTCTTGAACTGCTTATGACTGTGAATATCTTTGGTGATTATTACATTTTGGTAATATACCTCTCTTTCATAACTGTGTCTTAATGTGTCAATAAAATTTTACCATTTTTTCAGTATATATATTCCTAAAAATAGTCGGAATGATACCAATTTTCTCAGATGATGACTCCCTTCTGGAGTACAAGCCACGATTGAACCTGTGCTCAGGTGGAGCTTTGTCTTCTGTCTCACTTTGTGTGGTCATCCTTAGCTCAGGTGTAGATGTCTGTTCCATAGGAGGGACAGGTCTAGATGTTTGTCCCATAGGAGGACTCCCCGGTGCTCCTGCACTGCCTATTCTGTATGCCTAAAATTTTATTGAAAAAGAGAAACAAATGAAAGACAAATTTAAGAAAAAAAGGTATTGTAAACGTGAATTAAAAAACTATACGTATTGGAAAATTTTAGCTATACGAAAATAATTTAATGTTAATACTATCTATCTACGCGAAACATTTCTTATGGCGTATTTAGCGTAAATTACCTCCACGTGTAAATTTCCAAGTTTACAGTCTTTTACAAACAAAATAGAGGGCTATTTACTAGTCTTCTGATTCACAAATGACTTGCCTGTGCTTTTGTGAACGGTTGATTATAGTTTACATAGTCAGCTTCCTGTACGCCTTCAACCACTGTCTTTTTGTTCTGTGTATGATAAATGTCGAAAAATTATAAATGCTGGTATTGCTTGTGCATTGTTTCATGGTGAGTTTGTGAATAACCTGTAAATTTTTTATACTACTTTTTTAAAATGCAAATTGTAAAAGCCTTTTGAACCGAAATAAGAGAATGCTATTTCTTTTAGACAAGGACACTTTCACATCTTTTTTTTTGTAATCTGCTGTTTTGTTTTAAAGAGAAATCATTTGGTGTAGATTTGTTGATAGGGAATAGTGTTGTGACAAACCTGGCTTATGTATGCACTGTTTATATATATTGTAGACCGCGGGCGGTGTAATGCCGCAGTTGGCGGGCGTACGTCTGGCACTGACGGGACACATTTGAGCTCTCCAGTATACATAACTGGGTCGTCTTCTGAGAGCTTTAAGTTAACCTCGTAATGAGTTGGAACCTTTTAAAAAATAATAAAACTTCGATCTTAATCAAGTTAAGATTTCTGGGATCCAACAAAAATTAGAAGAATATCATCTATTCATCTATCATAACGTCTATATATATTACGTTTGAATATGTTTTGGCCGTAGGAACCGTGGGAGGAGGGGGACAAGGGGGACGTGCCCTCCCCCATACTTTGGCCAATATATAATATACTGTAGAAAACATAGCTACTCAATGCGTTTGCCTCCTCCAGTAAAGCGTCTGATGACCTTTATTTGTTTGTCAAGGATTTTTATGCTTGGTATTAACCCCCCCTCGAACTGAAAATGTTTGGTTATGCCCCCTACACCCCCCACCTCCAACCCCCAAACTGATATTGCTTTATACAGATCTGTCAAAATCGAATGTTAGCGTTATATACTTACCCCATCAATTATCTGCTCAGAGGGTTCAAGTACGACGCTGTGAAAACCCCCTTCCATTGAGTTAACAGTATCGCTTGTATTGCACTCTGCCAGTGAAATGTAGTCTGAAAGAGGTAAAAAAAAAATCTAGAATGAAATTCTGTAGATAAATATCCATTTAGAAATAAAGTAATATTATTATTCGATTTCTAAATGATCTATGATTTTACTTATCAATTTATTGTGAAATGTAATCATGTGTCTGCTTCATAAGTGAATGCAGTCAATAAATATTGATTCACCAATTGCTGTAGATAGATTCTCTGGTACTCACTTGAAGTCGAAGCTTCTGTTTTTCCTTTAGCTTTGTGTGTCTCATCTTCTGTACCCTGAGAAAAAAGACGAGCGGCGAGTCAAAACCGACTTACAGTGCAAGCAACATTAATATAGATAAAACAAAACTAAGTTGGAGAAAACTCAAAATATATTCCAGTCCAGATAATTATTCTAAAATTAAAATTTTAATAATATTTGATTATCTATTACATTGCATTTTGATATATAGATATATGCATGTATTTAAGACATACCAGACATCATATATCTCTTCCACTGGTCATATATACATTTACAAATGTACATGGTATACATTCTATCTTTTATACAGACTAGAGGTAAAACGGGGGAAATCCCTGACTATGCCAGCTTCGTTGAAGGTTATACTCGGTCGTTTATTTTATTCAATAAGAGTATTAAATTTCTTATTCATTCTAGAATAATGAATTTTTTTTCACGAAACGTATTTTGTTCACACACACTAACGAGTAGAAGTGCAGCATCGTTCCAATTGTCTGTTATCTAAAGTTTACAAACATAATGATTTAAAGTTCGTTAAGTATAGACGATTACCATTAATTTTGATAAAGACTAATTCATTCAAACAGAAGTCTGCATATATAGTTACTAGAAATATTTAAGGAACCTCTGCGTTTCGTATTTGGTCAGATTGCAAAAAATAACAACTCTGGAGATGAGCGATGTGTGGTCTTCTGTGTGCTATTCTGGCGATAACTCCTTTGTAGGTCGTTTTGCTTAGTTCTGTCCTGATTTTTTATCTCTAAGCTTCACATATAGTTAGTTAGCCTTAAAACGGTAAATAAAAGAAGTGTCTCTTTTGTATAATTTATTAACTAACGTTACCAGTATTTAGTGGAAACATTGAAAGAGGTAAATAGAGGGCAAAGTAACTACTTTTTCCAGCAATCCGACAAGATGTGTTTGTGAAACACTAATGCCCCCGTATAGCGAAGGTTAAACTTTCTCAAATGCAAATCAAATATGTTGGTACCCAAAGTAAGGTCTTGTCTTGAAGAATAAACCTGTGAAATATGAAAGCCATAGCAGCAACCATTGAAAATATATGGAAAAGGTTAAAGTTTTTCAAAAGTGAGTCAAACATCAAGGTCATGGTCAAATGGTCAAAATTAATGGTGCCCAAGGAAAGGCCTTCTCACAAGAGATACACATGTGAAATATGAAAGCCCTAGCACCAACCATTCAAAAGTTATGGCCAAGGTTAAAGTTTTTCAAAAGGAGGTCAAACTCCAAGGTAAAGGTCAAAAGGTCAAAGTTGTTGGTATCCAAGATAAGGACTTGTCAAAAGAATTGCATATGTGAAGTGTGAGAGCCCTAGCACCATTTGTTCAAAAGTAATGGCCAAGGTTAAAGTCTTCCAAAAGAATGTCAAACTCAAAGGTCAAAGGGTAAAAGTTCTTGGTATCCAAAGGAAGGTCTTGTCACAAGAATTACATGAGTGAAGTATGAAAGCCCTAGCACCAACTGTTCAAAGTTATGGCCAAGGATAATGTTGGGTAAAATTTTTCAAAACTGGGTCAGACTCCAAGGTCAAGTCAAAAGGTCAAATATGATGGTACCCAAAGAAAGGTTTTGTCACCAAGAATACACATGTGAAATATTGAACCCACAGCTCCATCCAATCAAAAGTTATGGGCAAGGTTAAAGTTTTTGCGGACAGACAGACTGACGGACGGAGAGGGCAAAAACTATATGCCCCCGAATCTTCGATGACGGGGGCATAAAAAGCCGTGCTTATAGATGAACGATTGATAATGACATATATTTGCAGATTCACTAGGGTGGGAGGTCCGGTACTCTCCCCCCCCCCCCTTTGGACTTCGCGAAGTTATTACATAGTGAAGTACATAGTGGAGTAACAAAAAAGACCTTTGCCCCCCTCCTCCCCGAAAACGACGACCCCTGTTAAGTTGGTAGGAAGAGTTATACATATGAAGCTTAAGAAGTGTAGGAAAGCTGCTCATGATCAACAGCCCCCCTCCGATCCTCCTCAACCATTGGGCACCATCACAACTATGAAATAGGTTTTCACTTTTCACCTCTGGGAAAGGAATCTGGAAAATCCTTTCCCAGACGTGATAGTCAGGATTTTTATTTCTACGGATCGAACCCCACAAATACCACATTATTTTTTAATAACAGAACAATTTTTGCCGAGAAAATTTTCCTCATTAAAGTTTTGTTTATCATAATTTCATAAATTTCAATAAATATTACTTAACTTTAAATACTAAGTTTACAAAATGAATATGAGCTTTACATATCTGAGGCAATAGACATTCTGCACGCCTTGTTCACCCATTTCCTTGAGGGAGATAAATTAAGACTCATAAACATAGCATTTCTACAGGTGACATATCTGACATTTTTCTCTGTTTATTTGGAATTCAATATAAAATTTGTTTATAAACAGTCTTTCTTATATTAATATATGTTTTTATGTATGAAGTAAAAAGGTATTTAGGACTTTGGTATTGTTCCTGAATCGATAAGTTTCAACTTCAGGAAATAATTTGAATTTATTTCTTCCTTTTTTGTGCGCCTTGCTTTTTTAAGAAGACATAACATTGCCTTTTATTCTTCCAATGATATTATACATTTAATGTTTTTTAACGTTTGTTTTTGAAATTTTTGTTGTATTTATCCTCAAAGATCATGAAGCAATAATCTTCACTTCTGCTTGATACATTTTTTAAAATGATCTTGATATATGAGGAAAATGTTCATGATAATATTTTACTGAAAGTTAAAAAAAAATAGCCGTTTCCATTGCTGAATTAACTTTGTAACATTTATTCGGTGAACAAACTTCAAATATAGTATATTAAATATACCACGATAAATAAATAAATTTAATTAATTTCCAAAGATATCAATAGTTTTGGGGAGAAACTGATCCAAAAGAAAGTTACAATTATTGCAGACACCTTCTCAACAATAATGTATACATGTATAAGATTTAAAGTCTAGCAAAGAAAGCATATGATAAATATCTGATGACACAATTTGGCTAAGGGTAAGTCCTTATATGTGTGAATATAATATTAGGTTTTTTTGTTTTTTTTTTTTTATTTTTCTACGCCCCAAATACCTTAATAAATAATGACTCATTTTTAGATTACTTATAAACGAAGCTCATCTATATACATATATTAAAAAAAAACTTTCTGGTTCTTTTTCATGCAAGTTGTGGTATTCTATAGCGAGACCATTGAATTCCAAGATAAGTTACATGAATATGAGATATATATCAAAGGATATGCATGGAATGACAAAAGGAACATTATGTTACCAAGAAAGTCATAAAAGTAATGTAAAATATAGCTTAAAGTTAAAGAGGTTAAAACACAATTTAACTCGAAACGAGAAAATATGGAATGAATATATTTGAATACTACTTTATTATTTACAATATTTTAAACTATAGAAATGAATTGGACTGGGTAACAGGCAAAGCCTATTACACCTCCAAACAGAAGGCCGTAAAGTATCATACCGGGTAAATAAGTGAAATAGCCGCAGAATTACATGAAAATAATTCTCTTTTTCTCCTCTTCTATTAATTAATTTACCTTTATAACTGTATTAGGTTGTCTCAAAGAAAAGTTTTCTAAAACACCTGATCGCGAGGGATGTGGTTGCATATTTCCCACGTGACTGGAACTGCTTTGGTGATACTGATGAAGTGCAGCTGAAATGAAAGTAGTGCATACTTTAGTACTTTAGTGTGTAACATGCAATGAGTATGATAGGTATATTTGTACGTTTCGTTCAGAGTGGACTATTTTTCATTATGACAAGCCTGCATTGAATCATTTACAGTAATCCATGCAAATGATATTCTAGTCTGAGCTTATCTGTCAATCTTGCCATCAAAAGGCTCAGCAAAGCCATGATTAGTAATGTTCATATGTAGCCATCCTCAGGCACTATCAATTCAAGTTTTTCAAATCATGACCCCCCGGGGCTAGGGTGAGGCCACATTAGGCGATCAAAGTTTTACGTAGGGGCATATAGGATAAAAATCTTTCAAAATCTTTTTCTCAAGAACAGCAAAGCTATGGTTAGTTATAATGGTTAGTCATATTTATATGGAAGCATCCTCAGGTAGTGTAGTTTCAAGTTCGTTCAAATCAAGACCTCTGGGTGGGGTGGGGCGACAATGGACGATCAAAGTTTTAAATGGGATCCATGGGAAAAAGCTTTCAAAAACTTATCAAGAACAGCAAAGCCATGATTTCTTATATGTAATCATTGTTGGGTATTGCAGATTCATGTTTGTTCAAATCATGCTCCCTACCCTACCCTTGCCGGGGAGGGGGTAGGCTGGGCCACTTATACATTTTAAAAAACTTTTCAATACAGAACTGATTTTTGCTTTTCTCCAGCCAAAGTGCTCTGGTGAGCAATGTGGGCCATGAGCCTCTTGTCCTTCTTACTTAGATCTCAAAAATTTGTTTGGATAAAATTCATATTGGATTTAATGGAAATATGGAATTTTGATGTACACAAAAGAGAACCCTTTGAGAATGGATTTAAACTTGTCCTTTTCTAAATTGAAATAAATATCTTTCCCCTTTCCGACTAGAAACGTACGTGATGATGCGTATTGGTTGCCACTCAGAGGACTACATGGTTGAGGGGGTTGCTGGGTGAGTCCATGATAGACAGGTCCTCTATACATCCCCGGTAATGGAGGAGGCTCTCGATGATAATGCACCGTCCCTATATGTATGTGAATCCCAGAATCTCGGAATCTGCTTCTAAAATGAGGGCCCAGGAGGTCATCAATGAGTCCGCCATGAGGTTCACTCCCGTCACCAAGGCCCGAATCATCTCCCACACCACTGGGAGCCGTGGAGGGAGGCATCCGCTCATATAATTCATTCTGAAAATCCATGTGATACTCTTCCCGTCGTGCATCTGTTTTATCCTGGTGTGGCAAGGGTCCAGAAGCATCCTCCATATCGGATGTCTGTGGGAAAACAAACTAAAGATATATTATGATGTATAAAACAGCGTAAGTGATACCTTGGAATGTCTGTTTGTACACTTAATGAAAAGGTCATATCAGGAGGTGTCTAAAAATACAAACTAAAACATGTCTTTAGATAAGCCCGAGCCATACAAAAATGTCCTCAATAAACTATTTAACAGACGAACGTCTATTTTTCAATACACACTCAGAAAGACTGTCAGTGTAAACTAAAAATTTAACAATCTTGATACATATCAATACTCAATCACAACCCCACCAACTTTTGAATTAAAAATATCAAATTGGAAGAACCTTCATGATTAGGTGTAGATTCGAACTGGTATATCATAACAAAGCGTTTTGAAATCTATTTATATGAAAAGAAAATGTTCACAAATTCATACACCTGCTTATTAATTTTACTAGAAAATCTTAGCATTTCTTTATATTTATTATCTTAAAACTCAAATAAAAAAATGCTTAAATACAACCTTATTTGGCGTACGAGGCACATGGGATATAATACTCAATCATTTCTTTTGTTATTTCCAAAAATCTCAAAACAAATTGTTTAAAAACATATAAAACATATTCAAAAACATGAATAGTGCAATCTTGAAACCACGATTGTTCGCACTCATTCAGAAAAAAAATGGTTGAACAAAAACCTAAAGCTACCTTAAAAGAATCTCTTGCATATCTATCTGACAAACCGATAATATAGCATTCTTTTCTTCATCTTCAAAAGAAAGATTTTTCTTTTTGCAATCCTGATATTACTTGGAAAAATTCTATTATGATTTTGTGCATTCAAATGTGAACTCTTCAAACGAAATGTACTGTTTAAACAAGCTTCAATCATCACTAGATGGGATTGATTGAATATTGATTGGACAATCTGTAGTCCCTTTTTTCACATGGTTCAAAATATAACCAAAAAGAGTACTCTAAAGTACGCATGTTTTGTCTGTAAAAGCAATAATAAAGATACATATAAAACTTAAGTCTGGTCAACGTTTTATTCATTTGCATACTGGTATTATAGTTCATGCATGTACCCGAAAAGAAACATAATCCATGTATAATAACATCATTTTTGAAAGTAATCAGATAATTATGACAAACAATATGCTGCAAATGTCATCCGACAATTTAATTTCAATTTCGAACCCGAGTTGATGTACCGATCCTGATTCATTGGCTTACTTGGCTTACACCGACTGAAAGCATTTCGTTTTCAGTTTGTGTGGTAATTGTATATCATAAGGTTTACAAGTACAATATCGTTAGTTCATAAACATGCAAGACATATGCTAATTATCAAAGCCCTACCTCTCACAATTCAATACTTCTAGAAAAGTTATTCTGGTATATTACAAAAAGTCTTATGAAAAGAAGTGCACGTTCTAAGTATCGACTTACTTTTCACAATTCAAATAACATAGTGTATATGGATATTGTAAACAATTTTGAAAAGCAACTGAAAGGTCAAGTGCGAAGTAATAAGGTCAGCATCCCTTGCATTTTGCAAAAGGCCAGTGTACCAAACAAAATACATGTATGAGCAAAATATCAAACCCTACCTCTTACAATTTAAATGATATTAGGTGGGACAGACGCAACGGACAGACACCTTACAAAGTGATTCTTAAGTATTGCACTGTTTTGCAGGCAAATTACACACAAACAAAACATGATTCCATGTAAATTTTCATCTTGGCCTAAAACGTTTTTCAATTTTGAGCAGAAGCACTCTCTAAACAAAGCTAAACGCTAGTACATTGAAACTTTATCTTTCAAGGGATCTAAATCTCGATCTAAATTCACTGTTTCTTGACGGCAGAGAATTCGCCCTTGAAAAAAGATGTTACCCGTATTTCAACAAATATTAATAAAGCTCTTTTCTTAATGATGAAACAGAGTGGTTTACGGAGCGGATCTAAGAAGTGTGACTTTACTCAGATTAGGAATCAAATTATGAAAGGAACTTTAAAGACATGTATTGTCGATATTGAACGATAACTTTATACTGCATTTCTATTATTATATTCAAGGTTCAGTTTAAAGCCTCGGTCATGTCTCTGAATTTTTTATACAGTCACTGCAAAATACAAAAAAATTACGTTCATGGTTGGATGAACAGCTTGATGTCTTCCGTACCTTTATTCTTGGATTCTATAAAGCGTTTCTTTAACTTACCTTCAACATTGTGTTAACAGATTTATCTTAATATTAATTAAAATTCTTACCTTTGACTACAGTTAACTATCACTCAACCAAAGTGCTTTTTACAACATGAAAAATCTGAAATATCCCAATCTACTTCCTGTTTACGATACGCTTTACCTCTGCTAATTTACGTTTAAAAGACCTGTAAACTTTAACTTCATTTTATATTTTAAGCGGTATGTAATCTTCAATGAATACTATGCTATAAAAAGATCGGGTGCAGAAGGACTAGAATTTAAAGGACTACATTGCTTTTATATATATATATATATATATATATATATATATATATATATATATATATATATATATATATATATATATATATATATATGAAGCACTATGGACTCAGAACTCACTAGGAGAAATTTTTCCGAGAGAATGATCCACAAACAAAAGAACGCCTTTCAGAGTTAGACAAGGCCCCTGACAAATTAAGTAAGGAAGAGTTCCGCCTTACAATCTTTGAAAAATCGGAATGACATAGCAATCAAGAAAGCAGACAAAGCAGTAGTGCTTGATAAAGAGAAGAACAGGGCAGAGTCTCAAAGATAACTCTCAGACGAACATTTCTATTAGAAACTTGACTCTGACCCTACCAAACGTTTTCAATCGTAGTGACCAAAACTCTTGACAAAATGTTTGAAAATAACGAGATTGAGGTCAACGTCTATGAGACACTCAACTCTTTTGACTGTAGACCAGGACAATTTTACCTGCTTCCGCGGATACACAAAGAAGGTATGCTGGGTCGTCCAAGAGTTAGTGCAATTGGACACCCATGGAGAAAATTTCTGTATAAATTTACATCTTCGTATGCATGAAGAGAACTTTCCATCCTATCTCAAAGACACCACAGACTATATAAACAAGACGCACTCCAATGATCTTCAAGATCATACCCTTCTCGTGACTATGGACGTTACATCTAAGAATTCTAACATTCCGCACGATGAGGGTATTGAGGCCTGTAGAGAAGTCTGGGACAGTAGATCTGTAAAAAAAAATCCTTCTACTCATACCCTCGCCAATTTCCTTGAATGTGTTCTCGATTGTAATAATTTCATATTTAATGGAGAACGTTACCTGCAAATCAATGACACTGCTATGGGCTCTAAAATGGCCACGTCTTAAACAAATATTTTCATGGGCATATTTGAACGAAACTTGTTACTTCAGGAACCGTATAAACTTCTCACCTGATTGCGTTTCACCTTGAGACATTTACTTCGTTTGCCAACTCATTCCATCCATTAATTGAATTCTAAAATATATTTGTGGATAATACATCTACCCTGATTGATGGCAAACTTGAGTTCAGTCTCCACACGAAACCAACTGATTCCCATTTGTATCTCATAACGACAAGTTGTCATCCCAAAACAAATTCAAAGGTTTGTCTAAAGATCTAGCCACCATAATCCGTCGCATCTGTTGATCCTTTGCTTTGAACCAAGAAAAAAGCATTCTCCCTAAGTCCCATTTGCACAAGAATGGCTACAAAGCCCACAACGTACAAGCCGCTATCCCCATGAGACAGGAAACAGCAGCAAACCATAAAAAAGAAAAACAATACCAGCAGTCTTCCCCTGGTTAGTACATACCATCCCGTCCTTAAAAACCTCAACAGTAGTATTAAAAGAAGTTGCCAATTCTTTATTCCAACAAAAGAATGACAGAGGTCTTTAGGGAGCCTCCATTTGCTGCCTTTGGCGCCCGAGGAACTTATGGATATAATAATTAGACACGTCCAGTATTGGATCAATAATATGTATTAGCGTCTTGAGAAGAAATGACAAGCCATATCATTTGATAGTATTTGATAAGGTGTATTAAATATATGCAGTAAAAAATTAATATTGATTTAGATACAGGCATTTCTACTAAGTTAATACTTGCATTGGGATATACGTTGTATGCTATTGGTAGCTTTCTTTAAATATTGAGTATACAAGCCGTCTGAAAAGGACCTAAAGTTAATGTGACATTAGAAAAATGATATTAATGAGTACTCGACTATCGTTCGACTTAAAACTCCTAGTTATTAGACTACGCTGTCCAAGTGAAATTGCCATTCCTCATTTATATATAACCTTTAATCTGCAGCCTTTTGAACACCATATATTTGTCAAAACGAAGAAAACAATACAAACGATATCCGAGAATTTGGTGGATGTATCACAGCAAATAATCAAAAGCTGACATTCACACGTGGAAGCAACAATACACAGAAAGTAATCCCCAGGTTAGCTCTGGCACGAACGATCATTACCTTCGGAATGTTGATTGTTTTTTCTTCAATTCACAAGAGACAACCAATTTGAAATTAAGATAGGGATTTATAAGGATTTTCAAAAGAAACAATACGAAATGATATTCATTGCATGAGGACCTCTTGCGTTTCAGCTCACATTATAAGCTAAAGGAAATACGTGACTTGTTTCAAATCGTTTTGGAACAGTAGAACCATCGGTTTGTCTAGACACACATTTAGAGGTAAGACTTTTTTGTTCAAGTAATTTTCTTTAAGCTTTCATATGAATAGAATTCATTTTCATTTCTTCTTTTCCATGTATCCCCTTTACTAACCATCTTACTCCTATTTTTCATCTTTCTTATTTAAATTTATATATTGGTATTGTTTATTGACCCCGAAAATGATTTAAAGTTTCCGTAAAGATATCAAATACATGTATTTGTATAACTGGTCAAATGAAAGAAGTTAATCATTAATGAAAGTAATTCGATTTCTCTTTAATCAAACAGTAGTATATCTTAAAATCATCAGACTAAATTTATTTAGATATTCTGATGCTTATACTGTATGAGAAAGTTATTAATGTTGACATTTATTTATCGAACATTAATATATACGCAGTATATGCATTAGTGTATTTTTTTTCTACAGATGTATAATTTTTTTTATCAAACAGGCAGAGTATATATTGGTTTTTCACAGGGATAAGTCCAAAAGAAATATAGCTATAAAATTTTCTCTCTTTGAAAGTTATCCAAAAAAATTAGCAAGATAGTTTCATCGATATGAAAATATAAAAATCTGTAATCTGTAGAGTTTTGATTAAATTTATAAAGAGTATTGGCGTATTCAGTTTCCAATCTGTTTACGAAAGTAGCTCGCATAGAAAAGTGTTACATTACATTGAAATGCCTCGTTCAAAAAATGTTAATTTTTTGAGTCTGCTTAACAGTTAGCATACCATAGTATCAATTAACATAAATAATAAGCAGCTATAAGATAAATGCAAATGTATGCAAATTTCGGTTGGTGGAAAAAATAAATTGTTTTCGTTCTCGTTGCAACACAGTAATTTAACTTTATTTTAACTTTTAATTAATCAATTAAACAAAATCAAACTGAAAAACTACTTGATTGTTAAAAAAAGAATATTAACGCACCATGCAAAGATAGAACCAAAACTTGTCGATTCCTCATGGATAGGTTACTTTTTTCAATGGGCTGTCGTCGTAAAATACAAAATCTTTTTTAAACGACTATGAAGCAGCACTCTACATGATGGTTTTTTTTTTGGTGGGGGAGGGGTTATTTTTTATGGTTTCTTGTCTACTCCTCATATTTGCTCGTTTCTTTGAATTAAAATTCACACAAATAACATTTTAAAACTAGAGATAACCCAGAGAAAGGAAGTTTATAGAAAAACGTGTTTTAAAATATAACATTCTGTACTAAAAGACTCATCTAGCCATATATTTAAGGAAATCAAAACAAAATATCGGGAAAATATTTCCCTTTCACAGGAACCCGATATATGAAAAGAAATAGCTGAAATATCATGTGATGGCGTAGCAAAAAGGGTGTAAGAAGTCGCGGCTGCCGCCCCAATAATTTTGCCAAAAAAAGGTGGGGGGGGGGGGGGAGAGAGAGAAAAGGTTATAGAAATACAAATGTACGAAAATTGTAAGGCGATATGTGTTCATTGGAGCGACGAATAAAACGGCGATTCATGGTCAATGGATCGTGGATCTGCGAGGGTGCACTAACGCAATATGGATGTGGATACCTGTATCAGGCAGGGGATGACCACGGAGTATTAAAATGGCTATTCTCGCAGTTTCTGCGAGTTTACAATTATTCTTTGTAAAATAAATCAAAATTATAGATTGGTAGGTCGATGTTTTGAAGCGTTGGTGATTACAAGTATAGTAAAGCATTAAAAACATATAGAAAAACGATGTATGACATTAAAATCATGTCAAAATCTAAAAAATTTTTTTGTTAGTCTTGTCATATTCTGCATTCCAATTTCAAGAATGAAAGAAAAAAAATCTATCTGACAACTTGTATATTTAAATTTTTTAAGCTCGTTTTCTACAATTACAATAAAAAAACTGCGTCATGTCAACCCCTAGAAAAATAAAAGATCATGATGAAATATACAGGGCCATCCCCAGGTTTCTAGAAAGGTGGATGGGGGAAAAGATAGGGTGCTTCTTTCCTGAGCCAGATTTTCAAAAACACAGATTGGTACCATTTGCGTATGGTTTTTGCATTTTTCAATGTCCTTTTTCTCAAATGTTGTATAAAAATCTAGCAGCATTAGTGGATAATTATATTTTGTTTCAAAAATAATATTTCCGATTTTTTTTTCAAAGGAAAGGTGTGATCCCACCCTTACCCTACCCCTTTACGACGGCTTTGGTTATTATAATCTCAGTATGAAATATGAAGATAACGAACAGTATTCAATCTAGAAAGTCCAATGAAGCGATACAAATTTGGAGCACAGCAAACACGGACCTCAAAATTTAGAGGTGGGATCAGGTACCATGGAGGAGTGAGCATCCCCTGGTAAGAATGACAAATGACGTCAGAACCATTTCCCTCCATTCCGTATCAATACGTCTCCCAAGTGTTAAATACTTTCCACTGCCCATGGAATTCGTTCTTTATATACAGAAACTTGTGATTTAGATTCGATAATCTTGTGATTAAAATGCGATTATCTTGTGATTTATATGCAAAGTCTGATTTATTATCGAAAAATTGTTGTTCATATTCTAATTTTTTTTTCTTATGCAATAACTTGATATTCATA